CTGTGGGCGCAGGAATTCGGAAAGCAGTTCTCCCAGCTGCCAGCCATTAAAAAATGTAAGTGTCTACCGGATTTTAATACCCCGCTAATTCAGCGGGGAAAAAAAAAAACACACACACAACAACAGACAGACAAAACCACCACCTTCTCTTTATTCTCCGAAACCACACGTCCTTTATGGTTTCACCCCGTTTCCCAGAAAGGCCCCCTACGAAGAGCAAAACAAGGCGCAGAACCGACGACGTTTCTCCTGCCCCCTGCTCGGGGCGTCAGCTCGAGCACGCCGAGCCTTTGTGGGGATTTTCCTGCCTGGAAATGGTGCCGCTCCGACAGGCAGCTTTGTTCGGGGCCGTTATCACCCGGCGAATGGCTGCAGCTCCCTTCTCCCGGGCGGAGGGTGACGGGAATGGGACGGGAAAGTGGGTTTGCCGAGCAGCTCCGCGCTGGTGGTTTTGCTTGCTTGGCAACGGGAGCGATAAGAGCTCCTTGGGAGAGGCCAGAGCAGCATTGAGTGGATTTATCGCTTCCATTAATGAGAAAGCACATCCAGCTTATCAGCTGAGCACAAGGAAATGAGATTGGCATTGCGGGCAGGTGGTGCCCGTCACTGTCACCCGCCCCCGAAGGCACCCTGGTCAGGGGGAGAGGCTCCACCGGGAATACACACACCCCACACCCCCTCCTCGGCTGTACCCAACCCGGCACGTCAGCATCTCCGGCTGCTGCCGACCGCGGTTGTGAATCACAGCCGCAATATCCACGCTGGGAATGTCGCCTTCACCCAAACATCACATTTCGGAGATTTCGGAGCGAACCGCGATCCCCGAGCCCCCTTCAGAGCCACACCAGGCAGGCAGCCCCAAGAACAGGGTTTCTCTAAATAGAAACGTGCTTTTGTCACGCTCGAAAAGAGCTTCCTGCCCAACCGGGAGGGCAGGTCCTGCGGCACCCGCCACGGGAGGTGGGATGCGACAGGAAAGGGAAGCGTTGGAGGGCAGCAGGAACATCAGGATCTGCTTCAGCGCTGCTCGCTACCTGGCGCGGTTACAGCTCTGCAGTTTCACTATGACGGGCCCTGTTCCGCAATTTGGAAAGCGGCGGCAGCTTCCTCCTGTTGAAGTAAACACCAGGAGACGCAGAAACCCTCCCCAGGGCCCCACCGCCTTCCCCGGGAGGGGGAGAGCATCGGTGCTGGGGGGAGAGCACCACAGCATCTCCTGCCACCTGGATGGGATCGAAGACGCCTGGCAGGCTCCGCTGCTCCCTTCTTCCACCCGCATCACCTCCCACCTGCCACGGTAACGATCTCTGGGGGGGGTTAACGATATAAACCCCCCGATCCCGGCCCCCCCCCCGGGGCGTGCTAACCTCCTGCCGCTACGCTGCGGGAGGTCCGGCACGAGCGACCT